TGTTACCATAAAGCACCAATGCTGCAGCAAGCAAAGGCTCTAGCAGCTCAGCCAGCTGCTTGTGGCTGGAAAGCCAGACAGGATGTTTGTGACTGTTGCCATGGGAACAAAGGGGCAGTCCATTCTGTACTGAGCACCGGATGTTAGCTCAGTGTGTGTGTGTCATTTGACCCGTACTGGATGTACTTGGGAGGAGTTTCGTCTTGCTGTTGTTGAGTGCAGACATGATTCTCTGTACTGATGTAAGAGGCAGAAATAAATGATGTAAATAGTTTTCTGTCTGCTTCTTTCCCCTCCATGGGGGACACCAAAGGGGAGAGAGGAAGAACGGTGTGTTCCTCTCATACATCTGAGAAGAATCGCCGGACCTCGCCTGCTTATCAGCAGAGTGGAGACGCGGGGAGGTCGACAGGAATATCTGCCGGTGCCTACGCTGTGGCACATTCCTCTGACCCAGGCAGAATTCCAACAGTGGCAGCCTTCGGATGGTTGCGATTCATCGGACATCTGCATGAGAGGCTGGTGGATTGTCCTCCTCTGCTCCAAGGAGGAAGAGAAGCGTCTGAAAGAAGCCAGAGGCTCCACAGACAGCTGATGGAAAGAAGAGGTGTTTTCCAGAGCAACAAAGTTCAAGGTATGCTGCATTTCGGGCTAAAAGTGTGAACGCAGGAAGATTAATTCCCTGGTTCACGGAGCTGCGTTTCAAAGAAAACAAGAGCTCCGGAAGAAGAGGCCTGCAGCTTGAAGGCTGAAGCCTGCATTCCACAAATTTTTGTGGTAGATAAGACGTCCTATTGAAATGCATTGTTGCTAGGTAACGGTCCTGGAAAGTTACTGGCAAAGGGGCTGGACTCTGAGTGTAAGCCTGGGAAAGCGAAACAAAACCAGAGAATGTTTTGGCTACAAGGTTTACGAGCTCTTGGAAGGGACTTTTCAATAGCAGCCTGCGTTTAGCTGCCAGGTGCAAAGAGCGTAAACAATTTGCAGTTTGCTGCGTGAGAAAAGAAAAAAACAACTGTTGGATTTTACAGTTTGTTTGACATTGTGAGCTGGAGGCTTGGCTTCAAGATGGATGCCAAGAAAGGGGAGGTTTGCCTTGCCCACCTCCCTTAACCAATGACAATTATTCATCTTGGTCTGTAAAGATGAAGGCCCTGCTGCAGAATCAGAGGCTTTTTGATGTAATTGAAAACCCCATCCCTGCAGCACCAACCAGAGGTTGGGAGTCACAGAATGTAAGGGCCAGGACTGCTATAATTCTGTGTGTCTCAGATGATCAGTTGGTGCATGTTCAGCATTTAGAAAATGCGAAAGAGGTATGGGACACGCTTGCGTACAACGCATCAGAGAGATGCTGGTTCTTCAGCGTTGCTGTATTTTGAGAAATTGACCAATCTGAGACTTGCGCCTGATGGAGATGTTCAAGCGCACCTGACAGAAATGAAGTTTCTGCGTCAACAGATGGTGGAACGCAATTTCCGTCTTCAGGAGGAAGTGTTTTGCTTCATGATGATAAACAGCCTTAGCCGCACCTACAAGGTTGTTGCCAGTCAGCTTGGTTCCCTACCGGCCGCGCAGCTGACCGCGGAGAGAGTTTGTGCTGTGGTCCTGAATGAACACGACAGACTTGCTGCACTGGAAGAAAAAGACAGGGGGAGGGAAGAACAGAGTTCTAATTCCCCCACTGCTGATGCTACTGGGGAGCATGGTGTAGCATTGAGTGCTGTCCGATGCTACAATTGTGGACAGACTGGGCATCTACAGCGAAACTGTAAGAAGCCGCGCCAGTCAAGAGGAGCAAAGAGCAGCTCTACGAAGCCTCAGGCGTCAGGCAAAAGCCGTTCCAAGTGCCAGGTGAAACCTGCAAAGGCTATGATGGCGAAAGGAACCACGCCAGATGTTGGCAACTCGTTCATAATTGACACGGGCGCAACGGTTCACATGTGCCCGCACAGAGGACTGTTTTCGACGTTGAAGAAGCAAAGCTTCACTGTGAAACAGGCCAACGGTCAGGAGTTGGAAGCAACTGGAATTGGGACTGTGTATCTTGAAAGTCTGAACTTGACTATAAGTGATGTTTACCTGGTTCCAGAACTGAGATTTAATCTGCTGAGCGTGTCGCAGATTGCAAAGAAAGGACTGAAACTGTCCTATGATGCTAAAAGCTGCAAGATCTACAAAGATGGAGAACTGTTTCTTACTGCCAAAGAGAAAGATGGACTGTATTTGTTGACTTTTGATCAAAGTGATTACATGAAATGTAATTCTTCTGTTTCTAACGAAATCTCTCTTGCAGGAGTGACCAGTGTGAGCACCAGGAAGGTGACTAAGACCAAGAAGGTCAACAGAGCATTTCAGCGGGTGTATGCTGATGTGATTGGTCCTCTAGAACCATCTAGGGGCGGTACAAAATATTACCTTTTGTGTGTGGATTGTTTCACTAATTATTCTTGGGTTTATATGATGGAGAAACCGCAAGAAACTTTAGAAAAGTTTCAGGAGTTTTGTGACAAGGTTAAAAGTATGCATGATGCTAACATTGATTGTCTTTTCACAGATGAGAAGCAAATTTTTCTGTTGCAGAAGTTTCAGAAGTTCCTGGATGGAAAGGGATAGACCACAAAGTTGCAGTTTCGCAAGAAGCGTGGAACAGGGGGTCTGTGTAAGAGTGAACAAAGAATTGCAAAAGGGGATGAATGCGCAATTGCTGAGTTCACATTTGCCACATGAATATTGGGCCGAATCGCTAGCGTCCTATCTTCATGTGTGGTTGAGAAAAGTCTCAACAGAGTTGGGATGTTCTCCTTTTGAGAAGCTGTTCAATAGAAAACCTTCTGTTGCCTATTTTAAGGTTTTCGGGTCTCATGTGAGAACAGAAGCTCCAGGTGGTGTAAAGAATGCCAGAGGCATTTTTGTGGGTTATGAAAAAGGTCTCTACAGAGTAATTTTGTCTGAATCTGGTCAGGTGATTCTCACAAAGTTCCTAGAGAGTGCTCCAAAGCAAGAGCGGATAGTACAGACATTTCCCACAGGAAACGATTCTGATGATGATGATGATGAGTTTGATCTTATTGAGTTCAGTAGTACTGATGATGACAGTGAGAGCTCAGAGAGTTCAGTTGTAACAGTCATTGAGAGGAAATCTCACACAATGGATAGACCTTCACAGGTGAAGGAAGAACCACTGATTGCTACTGGTTCTCAACAGAGTCCAAAGGTTGAACCAGTGAGCACAGAGGATCAGAACCTCATACGTAGGTCTGAGAGAGCAACGAAGGGTGTACCACCCAAGAGGTATTCAAAGGAGTTTGCTAACCTTGCATATGTTGCTATTGTAAACGACCAAGGACAGATTGAAGCTGTGTCTGAGTCAGAGACAAAGGCACAACAGAGAGTTGTTAACCAAGGTAATGCGAAGTCACACAACCAGAGAGGTACATTGGTTAAACCAGTGGCGGGTAGTTCCAAGGGTGGAACTGAAACAACAGGGGAATGTTATAAATATAACAACTGTTTGTTTTCTTCTCTGGATGACGCTTTGCTCGCAGCACACATTGATACTTTAGGGGGAGTATGTTACCATAAAGCACCAATGCTGCAGCAAGCAAAGGCTCTAGCAGCTCAGCCAGCTGCTTGTGGCTGGAAAGCCAGACAGGATGTTTGTGACTGTTGCCATGGGAACAAAGGGGCAGTCCATTCTGTACTGAGCACCGGATGTTAGCTCAGTGTGTGTGTGTCATTTGACCCGTACTGGATGTACTTGGGAGGAGTTTCGTCTTGCTGTTGTTGAGTGCAGACATGATTCTCTGTACTGATGTAAGAGGCAGAAATAAATGATGTAAATAGTTTTCTGTCTGCTTCTTTCCCTCCCTGGGGACACCAAAGGGGAGAGAGGAAGAACGGTGTGTTCCTCTCATACATCTGAGAAGAATCGCCGGACCTCGCCTGCTTATCAGCAGAGTGGAGACGCGGGGAGGTCGACAGGAATATCTGCCGGTGCCTACGCTGTGGCACATTCCTCTGACCCAGGCAGAATTCCAACAGTCACCTAGGAGGGCAAACGCCACAACCATCTACCCCATCTGTCCAACGAATGGTTCATCCCGGCACTGATAAGAGAGCTGTGAACTGTTGCAATCTCTGAATCGGTTTTTGCTGTGGAGGAGTTTTTTTGAGATTTGTCATGATATCTCAAAACGACACAACGAAAGGAAGAGTAGGAATGAAATAGGGAGGAGAGTGCCGGTGCAGACTCCTTTGGGTCTGGTAAGACACCAAAACTTGTTTGAGCTATACAATGTGCTATGCAATTGTTGTGGACTATGCTGCTGAATAAATACGTTACTGATGTCCATTTGGATGTAGGTAGCGCTGTGGTCTAAACCACCGAAGTTTCTTGGGCTTGCCCATCAGAAGGTTGGCAATTCGAATCCCCACAGCGGAGTGAGCCCCCGTTGCTCTGTCCCAGCTCCTGCCAACCTAGCAGTTCAAAAGCACACCAGTGAAAGTAGATAAATGGGTACCCCTGTGGTGGGAAGGTAAACAGCGTTTCCATGCACTCTGGTTTCCGTCACAGTGTTCTGTTGTGCCAGAAGCAGTTTAGTTATGCTGGCCACATGACCCGGAAAGCTGTCTGTGGACATCTCCCTCGACCTGAAAGCAAAATGAGTGCCACACCCAATAGTCGCCTTTGACTGGCCAGGGGTCCTTTACCTTTACCTTTACCATCTTTACTCATAAAAACTTTACCAGAGCACAGTTTCCAGTTATTGTAGATAACACTATACTGAATGTCTCTTCACCTGCACCGTCCACTCTTCATGTCAGCGATCAAAGAACGCGAAACGCTAAACTGGATTGTACATATACACCACTGAGCCACCATAATCAGTTTCAGAGTTATTATCCTTTTCTTTAATTCTGCCTACAGGTGCAATAGAGTGAAAATATGTATGCATTGAAGCGTATTTATAATACTACTCATGCTGGCAGGTGAGTTGTTAACTAAACATAATTGTTTTCAAAGTATTCTACTAGATTAGCATGGATTAACACGTTCATTTTCAAAGCCAGGGCAGGAGAACATTGTTAACTGGTTTTGCACACAATTCCTTGTGCTTCGCTCCCTCAACGCATACACCCACTAATACAAAGTAAATACTCCACGAAAGAAAGAGCATTTTGTTTTATTATTCACTTTCACCTAGAAGGAACAAATCTGTAATCAAGAGAAACAGATGCTGTCCATATTGATAAAGACAACATGAAACTGCCAGATTTTACAGCCCAAGCGTGAACAAAATTGGATGATTGGAATTTAACAAAATAATGGCAACTCAACAGCAGCAAAGCACACAGGTTTTATGCATTTCTTTGTTTAGCATTTATAATTTTAGTGCGCCCACATCAACAAGGCGCTGGTCTCATGTCTGGGAGGTCTATTAGATTTATAGTTTCCTAGCAAACACCATGATTCAAAGAGTGGATTCAGTCGACCATTTTGTTTTCCATAATGAAACACGATTTTTACAAGTTATATCATATAACAACCTACATTCACTTTAAAGAAAAATTGAGTCACAAACTATGGTTCTATTGCTTCCAGATCCTGAGAGTTTGTGATCTGACAATTCTGGCAAACATTCCGAAATCTACCTTACTTTTGAATCTCCGTATGAATTAGGTCCGTATAGTTAAAGCCATGGTTTTCCCAGTAGTGATGTATGGAAGTGAGAGCTGGACCATAAAGAAGGCTGATCGCCGAAGAATTGATGCTTTTGAATTATGGTGCTGGAGGAGACTCTTGAGAGTCCCATGGACTGCAAGAAGATCAAACGTATCCATTCTTAAGGAAATCAGCCCTGAGTGCTCACTGGAAGGACAGATCGTGAAGCTGAGGCTCCAATACTTTGGCCACCTCATGAGAAGAGAAGACTCCCTGGAAAGGAGCCTGATGCTGGGAAAGATGGAGGGCACAAGGAGAAGGGGACGACAGAGGACGAGATGGTTGGACACTGTTCTGGAAGCTACAAACATGAGTCTGACCAAACTGCGGGAGGCAGTGGAAGACAGAAGTGCCTGGCGTGATCTGGTCCATGGGGTGATGAAGAGTCGGACACCACTAAACGACTAAACAACAACAACATGAATTAGGCTTGCAATGTATCCAGAACCCTTTGTTTCATTGCTATGGTTTTCATTCATTCCTTTTATTTGTATACCACTCTTCCACACAGAAAAGATCATGCTCAAAATCACTTACAACAAAGAAATGAAGATGCATTTCAAACAAACACCACCCAAACAATGGCTTGATAACCCAGCAAAACAAATATATAATAACATACAAAAAAGCACATTTCAGTGCTATAAACAAGATATATAACAATATATTACTTAAGCAACATGCAGTATCCAATGGCAAAAATAACAAGGGGGCTTCATGGTTTCACCTTAGTCCTAGAAACACCCCCTCATGAAGTTTCTCAAAGTCCCTTTCAAGTGATGTTTCCCCATCCACTAAATTTATTTGTTCCTTGCATAAGATTACCACGTCTCGTTATTTGTTAACTAATCTTGGAAGGACTGAACCCTCCCTGGTTCTGCTGTTACCATTATTGCGAGCTGATTCTCATGACATGAAAGCAAAATGGTTACCATGTTCTTGTGGTTCCATCCAGGATACTCCAGTGATGTGGGAATGGCAGAATTGTGTGGGACAAAACTCAGTAGCATCAGAGGCCATGCTTGGGATGGCTTTAGTGTTTGTGTGCATGTGGACACACAGTGACACATTTGCCATGTAATGGTTTCTACATTACTGTAACAGTCATGAGGTCAGTCCCACTGAAATTAGTGTGACAAGCTAGTTATGAATCATTTAAGTCCCATTGATTTTAGTAAGATTAAATCTGGGGGAGCTGTGCACCCTTTGGATTAGGGTTTTCCAAACTTCAGTCTCTAGCTGTTTTTTAACTACAGCTCCCATCATCCCTGACCACTGCTCCTGCTAACTAGGGATGATGGGAGTTGTAGTCCAAAAACAGCTGGAGACCCAAGTTTGGGAAACCCTGCTCTAGATGTTGCTGGAGTGCAGCTTCCTCACCTCTGACCATTGGTCCGTCTCCCCACCTAGGCAAAAACATGACTAACTTGATCTGGATCCTACCCCACCCCACACACTTTGTACAATAGCATGCAGTGGATTGGCAGAGAAAAGACACATTTTTCTGCCTTTAGTGGTTAAGTTGAATTAAAGGATTGTAAGTGAAACCTGAAGAATATTGACTATGCACTTTTAGGTACCACGGAAGGAGCTCTCTCTTTCTCTCTCTCTCTCTCTCTCTCTCTCTGTGTGTGTGTGTGTGTGTGTGTAATAAATGAATTGTCCAGATCTTCCACTTTCACTTTTTAACCCCTACATCAAATGATGTTTAGAAATCTTAGGTAATAATAGTGAAAAAAATTACTCTTCCAGAACGTCAGGATTAGATGGGGTAAGAATCTAAATAATGGAACAAATGAATACATAGAAGGGATAGCAAAAATGCTTGGTAGCCAAAGCTTTGTTGGCCAAAAGAATAGTGGGATTTTAGAGAGACTGTCAGTTTCTGCAATGGCCGCCTGTACTAATGTAGAGCCTCATTTGCACAACTTTAAAACTCCTAGGCAAGAAAGGCAGTATGTCTGAGCCTGCCAAAAGAGAGTGTGTGTTGCTTTTCAATAAACCCATTCATAGGCATATTTGCTTTCCCTTATTTAACCAGAGGCAAAGATTAGAAAAGTCAGGTAGTTAATGATTTTGCCTGTGTCCATGGAGTTGCTGATCCATGACCTCGTTTTCATTAGGCTATCATTTAAATTTCATCCTTATATTTTGAAGCTGTCGTGAGCAATTAAACTACACAAAGCCCAGATTAGAATCAGAAGAAAAGCATTGCTTTGTGGTCTCCTTGCGGATGGCTGGAGGGCAGCCAAGATACTTAAGGGCCATGTCCCTTTCTAATCTTCTTTCTAACCATTTATGTCTGGATTAAAAACCGAATGTATAAATGAAGGAAAACACACACACATACTGTATATATGCACTTGGCAGAGAGACGGGCCTAAACTGTGGCCTAAATTGCTGTGCTGTCTGTTCAAATATATTCAACACCAGAAAAGAAACCAGAAAATGAATGGCTTAAGACTAGGGCTATTTGAAATCTCCATAGCAGGGAAATTCAAAACTCAGCGATTCCTGCACTCACTGGCTAAAACTCTATCCCACAACATGCTGCTCCACAGACGTGCCGGGTTCTGCACAACATTGTGGGTGCCCGGCACATGTGTGTGATGTCACATGGCAAGAAGAGGCCTGATGGAGCCCGCTGCTGCAGCAGGAGAACCCAATGGAGACTGTTGCAGTTGTGGCAGGCCCTGTTGGGCCTTTCAGAGGGTACAACGTGCCCCATCGGGCCTCCTGCCGCCACATGAGCAGCAGAATATTGAAAATTGAGGTGTTCGATTGGCCCAAAAATGGAAGCAAGAAGAAATACCGACGATGGAAAAATGGAGGATGAAATTAATGGACTATGCGGAACTTGACAAACTAACGGGAAGGATCCGAAACCGGCGGGACCAGAAGTTTACCAAGGACTGGAGTAAATTTACGGATTATTTGAAAAGTATTTGTGACGCCCAGACGACGTTTGTAGGTTTGCAAGAAGTTCTGTGAGGAATAATATTAGAAATATTGCAAAAATGGAGAAGGAGACGTGATATGTTTAGAATGTAAAGGCAATATTAAGTTAGGAAATGCGTAAGAAGTGATTAAGATGGAGGATTGTCAGAGGTGCTGATGGAAGTCCAGTAAGAATGTATTTGTGATAAATTGTGTGGTATGTCTTATAATTTTGCATGTTAAAAACTAATAAAAATATTTTTTGAAAAAGAAACAAAATTGAGGTTTTTGGCCCTCATGGCCCCACAGAGGTGGCGCCCTGCTGCTGCATTGGCTTCAACCAGATTGTCTTTCACCATTTCATCATTTTTAATTTGTATGCC